AGACACGGGTCCTGCGCCGCCTGAGCCTTCTTCAGAGGCCTGTGGAAAACTATCGGCCTGCTGAGAAGGGTTCAGAGCTAATGAGGGTGATGTCTTACCACTTTTCCAGGTCTTCGTGTTCGATGTGGGAAAGGAAACCTGGAAATCCTACGACTGGTCAAAAATCACAACTGTGGCAGCTTTCGGCAAGTACGATCCTGAGCTGATGTGCTATGCGCACTCCAAAGGCTCCAGGGTAGTCCTGAAAGGTTGGTGACATTGCGAAAGTGTGGATATTTATGTCATACATGAATGAAAACGTAATGCACGTAGGGCTACAACCTTGACAGTTCACAGTCATGTGAATGCAAAGTACTACAAAATCACTAAGAGGATTAATTAATAAGGAGATAATGCACAGAGAGCTGTAATACCTTGGCATTTTGTACGCACTGGTATGCAGAGGATTAAATGGAAAACCAGCAGTCGCTTCTGCCACAGTAACAAAACCATTCCAGTCTAACGGGGAACATCACAGCTACAGAGGAACAGGGAGGAAGGGAGGAAAGGAAAAGCCTGCAGAAGATATTTATTTGGGTCTGTGTCCTGGATGTTATGCACAGTATCCAAAAGACAGAATAAGGGATTTTAAGTAATTTTTAGTATTTTTCACTTAAATCAATCCCTCTGTACTAGGAAGTGGTGAGTTTTAAAACATGAATACTTGGGAACTCTGTGCAGGTACAAATGCTGATTAGAAAGACAAGGCCATCTTGTTGATCTTTCTTTACATGCTGTCATCAAGTTTGGCTCTGTTAGAGCCAAAAATGGAATCTAAGACAATGTGGAAAGCAATAAAGGTTAGACGTGTTTATTCAAACAGTAAGAGACAGTCCCTCTGGCTCCATGGAAGTACTGAAAGTACATTGGTTTCAAGAAGGAAAGTTTACAGTGGCTAAAAGAATGTTAAGCAGAAGTAAGAAGACTAAAATTATAGAAAAAAAATCCAAAAGGAACTTAAACATCACTGTCTCAGAGAAGCTTGGTATCCTCTTCAGGGGTGGGTTCTCAAAATTCTGCTTGGGAAAAAAGTTACTAGTATGGGTGTGGGGATTTTTTGTTTTGTGTTTATGTTTTTATGTTTAATAGAGACAAACCTTTCCTCCTTACTATTACTATTAGGTGTTAACTCTTGAAGGTGTCTTGTCTAGGTGATGTACCTCTTAGGGAAATTGTTGATCCTGCTAAGAGAGCGGCATGGATATCCCAACAGGTGGACCTTGCAAAAAACCAGTATATGGATGGAATTAACATAGATATAGAGCAAGAAGTTAACGAAACCTCCCATGAGTATTATGTATTAACAGCGCTCGTTAAAGAAACTACAGATGCTTTTCACAGAGAAATTCCAGGATCACAGGTAATAATAATGTAATTTATACAAACATTAAGTTTAACTTTATGAAATGCAAGGATTTTTAAAAATGCTGTTTAGCATATGAATATGAAAAAATTATGCAGATCTAAAGTGTGATATTCTCATGAATGGTTAATTATGAATGCTAGCTATGATAGGCTATCATAAGAGTCACTCTTTTTGACCTGTACAAATTTAAATGGAAGAAGGGTTTCACTGAGATTTGTAGATATGATGTTACTGCATTGTGTGAGCTGGCAGTTACTAGTCTGGCCTAATGAACCTTTGAAAGTGGCACAAATACAGCCTTCTGGTGCAAAAGCTTGGCAATGCTTTGGTAAACCCATCACTAAAGTTTTAAGGATTTGCATCATGCTCCATATTTTTGATCTGATGTTTTTCATGTTATATTTTAATTTCTTTGGTGTTTGAATTCACTAATAGGGGCACTCGCTGTTTAATGTTTGTTTTATCAGCTGAGCAGCTTCTCCTATAGTTCATTAGTATCACTCTGTGATAAACACTGTGCAACATTTGTGAAAGACTGTCTTTAACAGTTTCAGGGGGTTTTTTTAAGAGAAAACAGGAGAGCTGAAGTGGCATATGTGATACTAACTTGTGCATTTCTACTTCAGGTAACATTTGATGTGGCTTGGTCTCCAGCATGCATAGATAGAAGGTGCTACAACTACACGGGGATTGCAGATGCCTGTGACTTCTTATTTGTCATGTCATATGATGAACAGAGCCAGATCTGGTCAGACTGTACTGCAAAAGCCAATGCTCCTTACCTGCAGACTTTAGTTGGTGAGGACAAAATGCCTTCCTGGCAGCCAGAACATTTCCATTTGTTCACATGAATAGATAGAAAAGATTGCCTTTTCTTAGACAAGTGGCTTGGTTGTATTAAGGCTTTTGAGTGTGCTCAAATATGTCTTCTCCTAATGTGAAAACAGTTTCTCAGATCCTTATGACACTACAGAGAGAGCTTTAGCAGTTGTGTGTTGTTACTTATGAAGTAATTGGCTGGCCCCCATGGTTGTGAAGAACAGTTTTAGAATGCCTGCTCATGGCAGGGATATGATCTGACAAACAGTAGCCCAAGCAATGGTATCTACCTGCATTTGCAAGGAACCTGAAACATTTGCCTCTTATCCTTGTGAACTGCTGCTATGGGCAGCTGGTTTTAAGTGTGAGCAACTAGAGCAGTGACTACGATCTGAATAGAGCAAGTCCAGAAGTATGCAGGTGGGAGGCAGAGAAGACCTTGCAACTCAGTCTCTGTCTGGGGATTATGCAAGTCCTATATTGGCTCAGGCTCTAGGTTAGTTCTAAGAATAAAAAGCATGGGAAGATGCAATAATGCGTCTTAATTTTTTTTTCCTTCAAAACTAGGATATGAAGAGTACATTACTCTGGGCATTGATCCTAAGAAGCTTGTGATGGGTGTCCCCTGGTATGGCTATGACTATGTCTGCCAAAACCTATCTAAGGTAAGATGAAGATTATTCATTTGCAATCATACTTCCTTGGAAAGACACAGCTAGATTTTGGTGATCCTGTTTTTGAATTAGGAAATACTGTGGTCTGATGGATAAGAGCATAAAGCTGGGACTCAAGACGCATGCTTGGCTGATAATGGATGAGCAGTGTGTTACCAAACCAGGCATTTTATCTCTCCTGAGGCAACCTGAACCCCATGATACACAAGCACCATGTTTGACTAAGGAGCTATAGATGTCATGTGTACGAGAAGAGATGATGTCCAAAGGCATTACAACACCTGTATCTGCCTTCTCAACACAGTCACTAAGCTCACTGCTTCAAGACTAAATGCAACAAACCATAGCAATCGTATGGCTGGTAAAGTATAGCAGCTTATGGACAAATCATGGAGTCTCAAACAACATTATACTTATGATAATGTAAGAGTAAATTAAAAAGTGTAAAAGATAAGACAACTGTGTAAGTTGAATGATGTCCATCCAATCTTGTATTACTACAGAGAGAACAAAATTTAACTGTTTTAAGTACTTCTGTCTACAAATAGTATGGCTGGCACAGATACTTGTAGATTTGGGAATTTTGAGAGCCCAGTGCCTTTTGGGACTTTGTTCTTAGCTGTACTGCTATTTTGGAGGTCAGTAAGTCTATGTACATGAAACTCATGCCTTCTGCTTTTTTTCTCAGGATCATGTGTGTTCCCTTTCCAAAGTACCTTTCCGTGGGGCTCCTTGCAGTGATGCTGCAGGGCGTCAGGTCCCCTACAGAGCAATCATGAAGCAGGTGAACAGTTCTCTTTCAGGGGTGCTGTGGGATGAGGTACAGAAGTCTCCATTTTATGAATACAAGGTAAGGGTCTCTTTATAAGACACCATGTTGTGGAGTAAACATTCATGTTCCATAGTTCTTTGATTATAAAGTTTTCAGGGTTAGATTCTTCCATTTGTGTTTTCTACTTTTTTCCATGTAGTGAAGGATGGCTGATTTCTGTTATCTTGGATTTCTAGAAAGAGTGGTGTAGTGACTGAAGACTACAGGAATAATAAAGATCTTTATTACTTTGTAGTTTTCTTGAGAGATTGTATCATGTCAAAAAGGATGGTATGGCACAAAGAAATCCTGTTGCTCCATCCTTCACTGTTATATTTACTTTTATGAGTTGATGACTAATTTAAACAAAAAGTTCTGAGATGCTATTAAGTTTTTCTAACCCCGTGGCTTGCATGCATGTTCTCTTCTGTATTTGGTTTCTACATAGATGTAGTGAAAGAGCCCATGAAGGATTGTGCTTACATGAACAATGCAGTCTATGCATTTCATCTTGTTTCTTTAGCCATAATTTTAAGTTTCACATGTAGATGATTAAAAGGTGGTGTAAGCAATAACCAGGTCAAAGCAACATGACTTTGACAAAGTTTTATAACCTTCTCTAAAACTGTTTATTGCTGGAAAAAAAAAGCACTTAATCTCTATTAAATTCACCTGTTAGGTTAGATAGTGTATCTGAGATTTTATCTCTATTTTTAAAAATTATTAAAATACAAATTAGCTAAGGCTTTTTATCTAACTACAGTTAAAATGTATCACTGTTTTATAACTTAGATTCTACAAGTAAAATGTAGCCAAGTATTTGACTTAAAAATTTTAATTGTCCTGTGTGAAAAATTTGTAAATCAGGAAACTATCATTATGTAAATCTATAAAGCTTGTATATCTGAGTTTTTAATTGTACTTTTCCCTGCATTCAACAGAAAATGTATCAAAACTCAAAGAACTTTAATGTGTCATGTTTATATAGATAGGTAGATACTGACGCTGGTGTTCAAATGTTTTTCTAGGATTCTCTTGGTCACTTCCACCAGGTATGGTATGATGACCCTCGCAGCATCTCTTTGAAAGCAGCATATGTGAAGAATCGAGGTTTAAGGGGCATTGGCATGTGGAATGGAAATAGTCTTGACTATTCCAGGGAAGCTGTAGCACAACAACAAACTGAAGCAATGTGGCAAGCCCTGACACCATAAGAACTATGTAAACCCTTGATTTAGAATTATGAAAACTGGTATTTTTTTATAATGGCTTATACTATCATAGATTTTGTCTTTATATAAATATACCATGATTACCAAAATTTTGAGAACTAGCCAAATTCATCTTGTTAGTTTGTATGCAAAGCCATATTTTCATTCTTCAAATAGTTCCAATGTTGCTTTAGCAGTGTTTTTTTTTAAAAGACTGCTCATCTTTCATATTTTTCACAACTACTGTAAGTTGGTTAAAGCTTGAACGCGTTGCATGTCTGGTAACAAGGAAGACAAAGTGGATTTGCAGGAGCAATTTAATAATGGTGCTCTGCTAAGGCTGCCTGGTGCAGCAAGTATTCATTCTGGAGTCGCATGGTGCAGTCTCAGCTTTCTGACTTGCCACCTCAATCTCTATTTTAGCTAAGTAAGTCACTCTTGAATCAGATTTAACACTGAATACTGGAGCGACAGATCATTGCTTACATGAAACTTGGTGAAACTTGTGCTTGTACGCAGTTACTGTTCCAGAGATTAAAATATTTTATAGACTGAAGAAATTATGTACCACTAAGTAGATGCCATTGAGATTTTTAACAGACTTGTTGTTTGAAAGGAATATTCAGTAAACTCCAGTTTTACTGTGTTTATGTATCACATAAATTCCTTAGTTTCAAAAGCCTAAAATCTTGGACCTGATCTTGAAGAGGGAACATTAATGGGGGACAGGACGTGGCTGATGTTTTCTTCTTCCATTTGAAACTTCTTTACTTCCTGAAAACTAGAACTCAGAAGCTTATTTAATGAACTGCATACATATTTTTCCATACACTTTAAGATTAATTAAGTAGCCAGTTGTTTGTTTTTATGATGTGGTGTGGCCTCTGAGATAGTATGAGGTTATATTTTCTTTCTAGTTCATATTTTTTATAAAATACTTTGCTTAGAGAAATTGTGTAACTTTTAAAAATATCTGTGGTCATGGAAGGATTGACTGGTGTTTACAGGATTTTTTTGTTAAATAAAATGTGTCTTCACTAAGGTTGGTAAACAGTGGTGTCTGTTTACGCTTTACTTGTTCCACAGCTTACAGCCCACACTGCTTCCGTGCTTCTCAAAACTGTTTCACAACCCAATTAGCTGTGCCCTGCTTAAGTTACTCCATTAATTAAACAAATAATTTAATTAGATAGAAGTAGTCAGTTGTGTGGTGGGTTTTTTATTTTGTTTTGGTTTTTTTCCCTTGCTAAACAGTTACTGGGAAAACACCATAGAATAGCAGCACTACCATAATGGCTATTGAGGAGAAGAGTAGAAGACTTTGTATGAGTATCTCAGTGCTTGATACCACAGCTCATGGAAAGCAGAAGGTGAAGCCTACTGCTCTCACATTAAAAAAAAAAAATCCCTTGGGAAATCAGAGCACTCTCTGCTTGACATGTATCTATATGACATATAGATACTTCAGAATTTATATCACTATTTGTATTTATATGCTAGAATACTGTAAGACAGATATTTGTGAAGTTGAGAGGTCTTCAGGAGTGGGTGATCTGAGCTACAAAGTCCTAACTGAAGGCCAGAGGCCTTTATAATAAAACTCTTCTTCCTCTAGCAGTCAAGAACCATAACTTGACATTTTTTATTTTTTAATTTGGGTTCAGATTTTCCAGGAGCTAGTTGCCTGCTCTTGTGTCTTAAATAAGATGCAATTCTGAAATACGCGATGTGGGATTCAATCCTGAATTGAGCAAAAGTAGTTGTAGTTTTAATAATTAATGTAATACATTAGCACTAAAATATTTGTTAAATCCTATCTTTAAGAAAATAAATTGGATAATGGATGGTTTGACTCAAGACAGTTGGAAGTTATTCTTCCTGAGAGTTGCATTATTTCTTATTTTATTACTGATTTCCCATGAGAGTTTCACTTTCAGTGATAAATATAGCTTTGTCAGCTTTTTAGCTGACATTAATTCCTAGCATGTTACTGTTCTGCTTAATGTAATAACATCTGGAACTGCAAAGAAGCAAACAGGAGAGCTGGAAAAAAAACCTATCAAGAAGAGATTTCTGATTACTCTTTCAGAGAATTGTTATCTAAGCACATGCATGAGCTTGAACTTAAAGAAAAACAGAGTACGCAGTACTGTTAAGTAGGACCAGGATCATCATTACAGCTTGTCCAAGACACAGCTTGCATCTTCCACTAACTATAAAAGAAGGTTAATGACCATGGGGCTTTCCTATTGAGAGAGGGAACAAAACCAGCTAGATATGAAATAAGGTGAGATTTATCTGAGAGTTTGTTCATACTTCATAATAATATGGTAATAATACATTGGTAATTTATAGATAGGCATATTTATAATGACAAAAATATACTTCAGTAAATAAAAGATTACTGTTGCTGTAGTTCTACAGAAGATGTATTTTAATTGTTTTCCAAAAATTAAATGCATGTGCCTGAAAATAAGAACAGGAGGTTATAGATAATAGGATTATTTGCTTAACAGATATTTTGTTAATGAAAGAACAAAAGCATAACAATGTGATGTTATACAATTCACTAATTTGCACTTTTTAAATAATTTAGCTTTGGATTAGACACATTACCAGGTTAAACTGTGTGTTTAAGTAGATGACTAATCTTACACTAAGATTTAAAAAGAAGTGAACTGCAGTACCTCAGTAGCATAGTATACAAATTCCACATTTATATAGTAATTGTCTTTTTACAAGATAACTTCAAGAACATACAAATGCTCTGAAATTGTGAGCTGCCGGATATGTTACAGAGCTTCTGAAGACTTTACAGATGTTAAAGTCATGTCATCCTCTTAAATTCCTGATTTTCTGGACTGGAGAATTAAAGCTGCATGAATCTTCTTCTGTGTCAGTTCCGCTCTCAGTACTTGTAAATCAGATGCTGCCTGCTTTCTCATCTGCAGAAAAAACAGTAATTTAAGGAATTGCAGTTTCAGGAAGTTTTTGGTGTTGACATGCATATGGGTTTATATATAACTTACGACTGAATTTTATACAAGCTGGATGAATACAGGATACATTGTTCGTCTTTACAATTATCCATGTCTAATGAGATAGCCTAGTTCTAGCACTGTTTTCTTCTGTTCTTCACCTTAGTGCTTTTCAGAGAGAATTGTGAAATTAATTGTTCTCTCTGCTCCTTATTATACAATGGAGGAGGCATAATGAATACATTCACCCTCAATTACTCAATAAACAGGGGCATGGGCAATCTTGTGTGATGTAGAGGACTCCTATTTCAAGCACTCAAAGCTGAAAAGCAATCCCGTGTGAAGGTCTGTACCATCACCTTCCTTCCAAAGGGAGCCCATAGGCAGCACTTGTATGGAATAAAGCAGATGAAGAGAACTGCCATCTGCTTGGAAAGCCATTCTCTCTTTTTTTTTTTTTTATACCAGCTTTTTTTCTTAACCATGGTCTGCTACTGAACAGTGCCTCACCAAGTATATTCCTTCAAGTACCTTTAATGTTAAATGGAAATTTTATAAAGAGATTGTGGAGTTTAGCTTACACAGTACTTTGACAATCTAAGTGCTTGAATGCCATACATTCAAAATCATTAATAACCTGGTGTTCTGGAGTAATTTGGCTAAAGTGATAAAGTTACGAAGACAACTAACATCGTAAAACTAACAGCATAAAACAAGAACTGTTCAGCAAGTATTTACATCATTTAATGTTTGGGAAGATCTAAGTTTTTTTTATACACAGTAACATTTTTGACTGTTTTAAATAAAAGGCAGCGTACCTTAATTTCTATTATCAGTTTCATTTTTGTATCATCCAGCTTCCTCCTCAGTTGATCAAGTTCATGCTGCAGTGTAGTAATCTGGATGATTGCGTAATTCTATAAGAACCAAAAACAACAACAAAAGTTTATGTGCAGCATTAGTGCATCTCTTCATTCACTGGGTGTTAATTCACTGTTCAGAAACGACCCTCTAAACTCTTTCCTACTCCACCGCATTCTCCCAGTCCCTAATGCATGCTAGGCTGTCTCTGGTTTGTAAGCACTCCGCTCTTCAAGACCGGGCAGCTCCCTTCAACTGCCAGCCCTTCAGCTGGGTGCAGAGGTTCTTCCACTCCCTATTGCTTTGGGAAGTTAAGATCCAGATTAATCTCCTGAATAACAGCACATTGTTTTGCAATTATCTTTTATGGCTACTCCCCTTTTATTATAAAAAGGCTTAAAAATTAAAAATTATACTTTAAATAAATTTTTTTCTCTCACAGGCTTAGCATCACTCTGTCACAGTATGGTCATTGATGAGATTGCTACACTTGTGATGTTTAGAGCAGATAAACTGCTGGTTATACAGCACATCAATTCAGCAGCAGCTGTGGGTAGGCCTATCTTTTAATAAACCTCTAGAACTAAAACTGATGTTTTCAAAATGTAGGTTCTGATACTCAGCTCGTGTTAAGTCAGCTGTGGTCCCTTGAAGTCAATAACACTTAGGAGTGAGGGTGTGTGTGGTAATCTCTTACTGTTCCAAGCCTTTAAAATGCTATTAAAGTGCAAGTTGAAGCAAATGATGTGATAAAGTTGCCCATACAAGGAGTCATTAAGTGGTATCTGTAGCCTCTCATCTCTGAGTTCCCACTGTAAGCGTCTCCCCACCCAGGGGTGTAGCTGCCTGTGTACAAGGGTCCAGGTCCCAGCTCTGACACCGCACAGCTGTGTGAGCCTGCCTCAGAACACTGAGAAAGCCTGCAAGGTACACAGTCTCGCTGGCAAAAAACAGGCAAGGCTGTCAGACTAGCTGGGGGCTACTGAGGAATCACAGTGTTGTTGGGTTGAGTCACCAGCGTGGACAAAGCTGGTGGAAGAGGAGAAACCAGCAACAGCAGGATCTGTTCTCCAGAGCCTGACTCCCCCCTCCCCGATGGAACACGTAGCTTACAAGGGGTGGAGAGCATACTTGTGCTTAGCCTAATAGCTCATTAAATCCTAG